TGGATTGTTTTAGCTGTTTTTAGAAGCAGCTGAGACCCAAATAGAAGAACAAAAACATACAAAATGTGAATTTTTCAAAATATGTCTCCTTTAAAGTGCAAATACAAACATGTATTAACTACAAGGAAATATTTTCCATTTCTTCCATTCACTTCTGATGAATCTGAAAACTACCTAAATTGATGGGGGGGGTTTAAGTCTGCAGTAGTGTTTTTTTTTTATTTTTATTCTAATCATTAAATTTAATTAATGATTAGAATGAATTAATTAGAATCATAAAATTCTAATTCAGAATTTTATGAATAAAATTATCACAGTTATTTTAAAAATTTAGAGAGGATATAAATTAAATGTCAAATTAAGAGTTGGCAACATCGACTGAGCCTCAGTCATCTCAAAGGTATCAACCTGGTTTAATGCTTTGCTGTCTTGCTGCGGCTCTCTCCATGCTGTCTTTGACACAGTAGTAGAGCTCGCGACACTGAAACAAACAGAGGAAAGTTACTTTAATTTTTAAACAACTTCTTCCTAAAGTTTGCAGAAGCACAAGATGCACAGTTGCAGACCTTTTTGGTATAGAACTTGTTGAGCTGCGTCTCTTGGCCATTACGTCTCCACAGACACAACACCTTGGTCTTGGGGCAGTACGTCATGTTGATGAGCTTCTCGTACCACCAGCGCTCGTAAACCGTACCGACGTTGCTGCGCAGGACTATGCAGTCATCACAAACCTTTAAACATTGGTGAATGTTTGTTAGTGCAAAAACAAGAACAGATCATGATATATGCAGCAATGATGAAAGCCTTTTCCTACCTCCATAAAGAAGATGTCTCCCGTTGTATCAGTGCCAGCATGAACAACAAATGTTTGTTTCTTGATGTGACGACTTCCACTGGGCCTGATGGACAGCTCACGACCATTCTACATAGGATTGGTAAAAATCAATTACAAAAAACTAAGAGAGGTCAAATGGAAAAAGTGGAAGATATATTCACCATATGGGCCAGTTTGTCCAGTATTTCGTTGATCTCTTGGCTGTATGCGAGTCCGATGTGAGATTTGCCCATCAAACGTCTCACTTTCTTCCTGATGTCATTTTTGTTCACCTAAATCAAGAAAAAACATTTACATGCTGGTCCACTCATCTCAAGGAAAGAAAAAAATAAAACTACAGCTGCTTAAACAGAGCAACAGGCTGTCATACTTTCAGCATTAGCATGTAAGCAATCATGTTGTGCAGAAGGGTGGCCAAGAGTCTGTCCTCATCGTCCTCCAGACGCTTGCGATCATGCTCTCCAAGTGACAAGTATCTGAGTTATTATGAAAAACAGAGGGATTCTTAAAATTGTTTTAAAACTCACATTTGGATGCTGAAAAAAATAATAATAAATAAGAAAACCTTTCAATCATTTCCTGAGGTCCCTGGTCCATCCCCATTCCTTCGCGCTCCAACATCACAGCATCTAAGAAGGCGTCCTCCCAGAACTGCACTTGATCCCAAAGGGTGGAGCGCTCCTTACCTGAAAACAGTTTGTTTTGTCTCAAGTGAGCAAATCTTCTTCAGCTGCTCACTTGGCTCAACTCAAATCGTATGCCAACTTGAATATAAAATTCCTAAACATATGTATATTTCTTTTAGAATTATAATTTGAGGAACACAAGACACCCAGACTGAAATCAGATTCATCTGGACCTACCCTCAATCACTGACTCAGGCCTTTTTAGAACAAAGTTTCAGGTATTTTTAATCAGGAAGCCTTTTAATAATTGCATAGATAGAAATGGGACATTTTATTCCAGATTTCTAGCTTTTTTTTTCTTTATTATTGATCTTTGTGAAGCATTTTAGCTCTCTGACTTTTGTAAAGCACTATATAAATAAATAAATGAGTGAAAAAGGACTGCAAATAAAACAATCTGTGTGTAGTCAATGTATACAGAAAGATGGTAGGTGTGACAGACTATTTTTTTTTCTGTTTTGATATTATAAAAAAAAAACATTTTCCCACCCCTATATGCACAGATCTAAACCTCACTAAAGAACAGGTAAAACTCTCATCAGATAAAAAGACTGAACAGAGCTAGATGAGCTAAGCAAAGAAACACAATCCACCAGCACAACACACACATAAAAAAGGGGCAAAGGCAAGAGATCAGCCCTACTTAGAGAAAAGGTTTCCATGGCCGCATCCTCTAGCTGATCCCAAACGGAGCTCTTATCCCGCCCTGGAGAAATTTCCCATGAGCAGCAGGAGAAGAGAAAAAAGCAGCAAGAGCAGCGCCGGGGTTAGGCAAAGAGGTGTGAATGGGTTTAATGGCAAAAAACGAGAGCTGAGCGAGCCGAGATGCACACCACAGAAACATGACAAGGATTAATACAGAGCGTGATTTTTAACACACTGCTTCAAAGCTTCAAGTTTGCATCAGACATTTTCACAAACAAGGACAGATAATGGAAATGGAGTTTGTGTTGACAGTACTACATTAATCCTTCGAGTATTTTGCATTTAAAACACAATTCAGGACTCAGGAAATGGTCCAGTAATATTCTACCAATACAGATTTTAACTGTTGTAGAGCTGAACAATGGTTACTAAAATATGAGTTCAAGACATCTTGTTCACTTACATAGAGCTAAATAAAATGTGTATAACTGTGGTAATTTAGTAAAATCTTTAAAAAATACATGTAAAAAAATATATACAAGTCAAAATGCACAATGTCAGCAATGCATAACAATTTAAACTCAAAGGAAACAGAGCTGTTTCAGTAGACATGAAACATCAGAAGCATAAAATCGTCTGTAGAGCAAGTTTACAGAGAAAGCAGAAATCAAGAGAGCAGCACCTACCCAGCAAACCTTCAAACAGATAAATCCTCATACTGATGTCCTCCATTGGCTGAACTGGAGGCCCTTTGACCATTGCAGGTAAATGATCTTTTGCACCTGGTTTAAGAGTGTGAGTTTTTCCCTATGGAAGAAGAAAAACCAGGTTTGTCAAACTGCAAGCACAATGATCACAAGTTTGCTTTGCTAAAATTATCACAACAAAAATGTTATTTTATTAATTTTTTTGGCAGTCGGTGAATTGTTTAGTACTTGCAGAGTTAATATTTAGTAAAAGAAAAACAAAATGTATGTCCAATGTCAGCTTGCACTTACAAGAGAAAATGTATGCAGATATATATTGAATCATTTTTGGACAACTATTCTACATGGCAGTAACAAGGTTTAAGGACTTTCAGAGAGGATTTTAACCAATCAGTATTCTTTAGTGTATATAGTGTATATGGAAGTTTTTTTGTTTTTGTTTTTTTACTTACGAAGACTGAGCTTGTGGCTGGATTGGTTTCAATCTCACTGTCAGACAGAGTTCCTCTGGACTGATTCAAATGAGGAGCAGCTCTCCCTCCAAGACCATCTCCTGCTGTGCTGCTCAGGTCACTGTCGGCTCCAAGGGTCTCACCAGAGCTATTGCTAATCTAAAATGTTAAAATTCAGAGTAATAAAGGTTTCATACGTAGACTTTTGAATGTTTACATTCATTGTTCACTTAATGCAGTAAAGGTAAATAGAAGACAGTATTTTCCATTTTATTCCAGCTTTTTATTAATGAAACTGTAGCTCTGTGTCTTTGGGAGTTTTGCATATTTTCTAATTACATGAGCCATCTGAAAATTTAAACTTATTTTCCTTACCTACATCAAGGAATTAATTCAACATACAGTGGATTATTCTTATACCACAAAAGCATCATGTTTCATTTTTCCTAAATTTATTCTATATGCTAAATTTAAAATAAATTCAATATTTTGGATACAATCTATAAACAGTAAAAATGGCATTTTGGAACTATATTAAAGAAGAGGATTTAGTAATTATTACAGTTCATTCACAGGCATGTGCCAGTTATCAGTATTAAGGTTTATCAAAATGTAGCCGTTAAAAATTAAAAAATGAATTTTTTAATTAAATTAAAAAAATTAAATTCTAAAAAAAATATATTTAATATAGAGAAAGTATTTTTTCCTAGGTTTTTTCTGCTCAAGCCTATATCAAAATACACAATGCACACAGCATTGTTACTGCGATAATAATCAATACGACACATTATTGAAATAGCAGTTGGAAAATATGATTATTTAAAATAAAACCAAGTGGCTCATGTCATGTATTTATGTTTTGGATGAATGATTGGCGCACTCCTGTTGAAAAAGAAAAAAAAAAGAATAAATAAAGTGCAAGTCATCCGAGTTGGCCGTGCCCTACCACTGTGCTGGCCTCCGAGTCCTGGCTGGTGCTCCTCGTGAGGATCGGCGGCTCTGAACTGGTTACAGACTCCGTGTCGCTCTTCTATACAAGGAATGAAAAAAAATTTGATTAGCTGTTGCAAAATGTGAACTATCCCTCCAAATAAGGTGCACTTTGGTTATAATTATAATCTCAAAGTAAAACAGTCCACTGTACTATAATAACAAACAAAACAAATTACATCCAATATTTTATTATCACTAATATGTTTTCACACAGCAGTAATTATAGGACAAACCTGAGAACCAGATGCGACACTGAGTCCACTATCAGCACTGATCTGTGATTTCTTCTCCTCTGCGTCAGTCACCTGCGGCCGCTGCTGCTTTGCCCCTTCAGCCCCTGCAAATTACATCTAATTATCAGCCTGTTTTCACATGTGGTCTCATGATGTTCTTACCTTATAGAAGGCCGTCTCACTCAAAGCCTGCACAGCATAGTAGCCCTGACACTACACCCCTTTGAAGGGTCAAAGACTGCTTAGACATCTCACTATGTGTGTACGCTGCACACTCAATTACAATAGCTTTATGAAGTTTGAGAAAAACTTTTCATTTTCAATATATAAGCTGCTACTAACTTTAAAGTGTAGGGAGGCATTTTTCTTTACTAATTATACAGAATAGGAAAGCTTGTTTCATCTTAACAGGACAGAGAGAGGAGACATAAGCAAGCACAGAAAGCAGAAAACATTGCAATTCGGAAAACATTACAAATGAAAACAAAACTGCAAGAGCGAGACATTATTTTTCAATCAGTGTTGCAAATGTGGCCCAATTTACACCAAAACCCCACAAACAGACACAGGCAGTTAGGCATGCAGACAAACTCATGGTCGGTAAAGGAGACATTTTCTGTTTCAAGTGTGACTGTTATTTATCATCTTTGTAGGTGGACATGTGGCGACACGTGCATCCATACAGGTCTGTGTAGTTCTCACTTTTTTGTGACATTTAACTTTGGCAAAGCGATTCATAATGCATCAGAAAACTGTGGGAAGTTGGCTGTAATGTTACAGCAAGTCACTTGAAACTGGAAAAAAGTACAGTTAAAAAGAGCAGGACAGGGCAGCAGGTATTCATTTCTGCTCATCTAGATGCATGATTGCAAGAGAGGAAGAAGAAGAACATGATAAAACAAGAATACACTTTGCTTCAGCTTAAGCCAATAAATGTTACAGTAAGCTTCTGTCATTTTTATGTCAGTTAATCCAACAATCCTAAAGATTTTAACTTTTACCCTTCCTTATATTTTGTTTTTAGCCTTACAGTATATAATGAAAACACAAGTTGTACATAATTGTCAAATAGAGGGATGAGGTATGTTTCTCACCTTTTTTTTTTGCTTTTACAAATACAAATATTAACAGTGTGACATGCAGTTTTACTCTTTTGGAATAAATAATAAAAAAAGATGATCTAAACCTAAATTAATCCTATCCAACTTCAATTTTTAATTTATACTCAAATATTTAAAACACACTGACACTATAACCCCTAATTTGGGGAGGGTTTGTCCATTCAGATCTAGATTATTGCTGGTTATTGTTTCACGCATAGAAAAATACACGAGTGAGAGAAGAGGTAAAAAAAAAAAAAAAAAAAGGGAAAAGAAAAGGGGGTTGAAAAAAAATTCACTTTAACCCCCCAGTTTTTAAGTTAGTTTTTTTTTTTTTTTTGGTGTGTGAAAAGTCTCTTACTCTGTTGTTTTTCCATAGCTTTTTGCTTATCCTGGTGCTTGCTCCACAATTCTACCCAAGATGCATTGCAAGCAAGGAGAGAAAGACAGAGAGAGAGTCAGAGAGCTGGTTGAAAAGGCATGTATGGTGGGTGAGCATTAAAACCAAACTCAAAACAAAAGAAGCATTAGAATGTTTTACTTTCTAAAAGAAGGTGTTTTGTAATGTTGGCATGTAGTGTTGATTCATTTAGGACAAAATTATATTTTAAAAAAAATGTTATAGGGCTATATTGGATTTGTTATGCAACAGCTACTTAGGTAACATTACAAAACACCCCAACCTCTCCACACAGAGTCCTGGAGAGCCACACAGTGCTGTTACAGAGCTTTGGCTCTGACCGTCTACGTTCATCCATCGCATGTGTCTGGCTTTCCAGAGCAAAGGTGAAAACGAGGAGGCTGATTGGGAAAAAGAGCGTGGGATGATGTTGATAGCCAGTGAGTGGAATGGAGTAGTTGCAGAAGCTGAGATGCAAGTCTCACAGCATTCTGTAGAATTGAAGGTGCAACTTCTAACAGGTAGAAAAAGGGGTGAGAGTAGGAGAGGTGTGGGTGGACGAACTGAGAGGAGTCCCCTGTAGACAGACCCAGAATTTTATTTGAAAAATCAAGGACTATATGCCCAAAAAACAAGTCTGTTGTAGGAATTTTCTATATACTGGGACTGTTTACTGGGGAGTTTTGTTTCCACCCTCCATGCTGATAGCAAAGGAGCTGTTTCGTTATTTTTTGTTCATTTTCTACAGCACACCTTGAAGAAACCTGCAGTAAAGGCTCAGACGAACACCGATTTGACCATCGATGTGTATAACTCTACTTTCCCCTTGTCCCCTACTGCAGATTTTCACACTGCAAGAACAAAACAACCACATGCATTCAAGGTGCTAATAGGCCAACAACAGAACCCCGAAGGGGAGGAAAACAGCTTCACGGATGTTTAAGGAAAAGGCCACAAACACACACAGTCCAGGCTGGAAACAGGATGCATATTCCATACACTTCAAAACTAATTTATTATACAACTTTAATTTAATTTAAACAATTTTAATATAAAATTTCAGCTGGTTAGCCATCCTACATGATTATCAACGGTAATTTCAGTTAAAGTGTGTGGAATATAATAACACCTGTTGGTTGTTGTCTGGGGGATCTTTCACTGAGACGGCTGGAAGTAGGGTGGGGGAGGTTTAAGGTTGATGAGCTTGTACGGTGGGGGCAGGGGAAGGAGGGGGGTTACAGTGCACATGCAACCAGGCTTGAGTGGTGTACACACCAATCGAGGCAATAAAGTTCTCCTCGTTCAGACTTCGGGTATCAAAATGGCGGGCTCCTTTGCCCGTGGTGTGGTGAGGCAGCTGCAGCTGGGGGATATTCAGGAGGCCCTGAGGTCTGGCTGTCTCCATACGACCAGAAGGACTCTCTTTACTCCCCGGGCTGCCAGCACTGTCTGTGGGACTTCGCTTGCGCTTTTCCGGGTCTACCAAGTTACCAAAATTAAGGGGGCCAAAGACAAAGTTCATCAAACACAGGAGAAGGAAGTAAGTTAAAAGTTTAAAATGGGGAGAAGAAAAAGATTATTTGACAAAAAAAAAAAGCAAAGAGCAGCTTTAGTTAATGCCTTAAGACAGTCTGACATGCAGCACAAAGCTCAATATATGCAGAGCAAGTGCACTGACAAGTAAACAATACAAGCACCCTGATGTTAGCCTGAACACAGAATCTTATACATTTCTAAGAGTACTTCATATGAATCTCACAATTAGGTACAAAACTTCATGAAGGCAGTTGTTAAGTTTTAGGGCATACCTTTGGTTTGATAATGTGTGCGTGCTATTTCCAGCAGGCTGAAGACACTAGCCATTCCTCCAAGACCAGCATTGGTATAAGAATGCTCCAGACTGGAAACCGTGCACTTCAGGATGTCCAGCATGCCTTTGTAAACTTTTCTGTTCACCTCCTGGAAACAGACAAACTGGTTATTGAAGGTTTGCCATCACAAGCAACCCATAATCTGATCATGATCTAGGATTTTACAATCTCCAGATTATTACAAAGACAGAATACAGCCCTCAAAAATACACTACTGCATTCCCTCCAGAAACAAACTTTAGATTTGATTTTCTGCAAATCAAGTCTCTGGCAAAAGTATTCATTCGCCTTGGTCTTTCCATAAGATAAGACGCATGTTCCCAATAGGGAATACAGGTGTGCCGATCGATCGGCTACCGATCATAATCGGCCGATTTCCGTGAAAAAGTGTATGATCGGTGATCGCCGATCCTGGTCTCTTGTTGCCGATCACAAACTGATCACCTGCATCTCATTTCGCAGCCTGCCTGTGCAGCTGGTGGGCTCTTTCCTTCACACTGTGCAAACGCGTAGCAACAAACCCGATAAGCGATGTGGAACTATAACGCACTGAGTGAATGGAGAAGTTTGCGTGTTGCGGCGGAAAATTGAAGCACGTGGGGTGAAGCACGTCAAAATGCGAATCTAATATGGCATAAAAACAATGCCATACTTGACGGAGTTTGGCTACATCGAGGCTCACTGCAGTAAAAATAGACATATGGAAATTAAATTAAGGTGAATTCATGGTTCTTTTTTCCACATAATGTAACCGGTAGTGCTTATGATTAAAAAAATAATTATGTGATCGGTATCGGTGATCGGCCCTCATGGGTGATCGGAATCGGAAGGAAAAAACCTGATCGGCACATCTCTAATAATGAATGTGAAAAAGTTCAAGGTTCATGAATAGTTTCTATCTTGCAGAAAACAAGCATCTTACCACATCACGTATGATCTCCTGTCTGGCGTCTTCCTCCGACTGGACGGCTCTGTTCAGCTTACTCAGCACAAAGACGCGGAGCTGCTCGTTCTCCAGCAGTCGGCGAACCTTTTTCATGTTAAGCCAGCCGACGCCCTGTCCTTCCAGAACACTCTGCACCACTTCCTTTAAAAACTGCTGGTTCTCACTGGGTCAAAACAAGTCATTAGGTTAATTTTGCAGCTTTTGAAGTAAACTACAATCATCCCTATTTTGTCTAACATCTTTGATTGCTGATGATGTGAGGCAAAAGCTTCAGGTACCTTGTGTTGTTGACCCGACCCTGCGGTGAGGGAGATTCTCTCTTCACAGTTGGGCTGTGTTTGATCACTGAAGACTTTTGGTCCACAAGTGCTCGGGGTGCACGCGCCCCTGCAAAAAAAAAATTATCAAATAACACCCTCACAATCAGAAACGCACAAAAAAAGAGCACTCAAATGGACTGGACTCAATGGGAATTTAAAAAGCTGGAAACTATTTTCAAACTGCTGTGTTTATAAAGTCACACAGGGCTACGAGCATCATTGTGTACAGAGGACAGAAACATTTGGGAATTATCTACTGCAGGACAAACATATTACAGGGGCAAAGCCTATTATTACAAGAGAAATAAAGGACAAACCAAACACACAAAATGCACACTCACTCACACACACAAGAATCCATTTGGCTCTCTTGGTGAGGGCATTACACATTAGCAGCATAAAGTAGTTAAGGTCAGTGGAAGGACAGCGTCGGTAGTAATTAGTAAATGACATGCACAAAAGAAAACAATGAGGTGAAAATGAAGTTTATAATACTGAATTGTTAAAATGCAGAGAGTCTGACAATCTGTGAAAAACAGCTAAATTATAATGTTTTAAATAGAAGTGTTAGTAGTGACAGGATGTGAGTCAGGTGTCTGATCTGCACCACTCACACCACCAGCAACAGACTCAACTGCTGTTTATACCAAGGAGTCGACAAAAGATCAAAGTGTTCTTTTTTGTGTGAAGCAAAACCATATATAAAATGAGATGGATTAATTGCATGTACTTTCATATATTAAAATCAACTTCAAAGCAGTGGCAGGAGGGATGTTGAGCTAAACAGACTAAACTGTAAATCCAACTTTAAATATGAAATAAGTAAGACAGTTTTCTTTTCTCTGTTTAGACAAGTTTAAATGCATGACACAGAAATAATTACAAATTTAGGTGTTCCTATAACACTTGTATTTCAGTCAGGAATGAAATGAAAATATTTTTGAAATATTTTGAAAATATGGTGTTCAAAATATTTCTGAACACCACTGAAAGCAACACATTGTGGTTTAATTTCTTTTAATTCTAGATATCAATCATTATGTATTATCTAACAGTGGATCCAAGAGGATTACTATGATAATTTCTTACAAATACAAGTAATTTATTAAAAAAATCAATTCACAATAAAAGCCAAAACCTTAACCTCTCAGTTTTATTTCTCATCTCACAGTGAAAAACTTAAATATTTTAAATAGACAATTTAGATTATTTTACACAAAACTCTACACCACGATAAGCTACTCAACACTACCATACAATGAGAAGTAATCTATACTTCTCATTATATGTATTACAAGCCTATAATCATAATATTACTGTACACAAAATTCATATAGCAAAGAATTGCATGGACGGCAATAACGTTTTACTAAGTATTTAAGCATCTTTTTATGTCTGGGTTAGATTTAGTGAAAATTATTTAATGTAGCATAAACTGTTTTAAATGGTATTCGCTTCATGAGGTCATCAAGTCATTAAAGCTACAGTTAAAGTGCACAATGCAAAAACCGCAGCCAGAAAACTATTTTGTAATTTAACTTTATTGCCCAGATAGATATCTTTGATTTTATTTCATTTCTTCCAGTGCTCGGTGAGACAATTCATTATCTGGGCTGTCTGCTTACTTTGAGCCCAAAGTAGAAATACAACACGTTAATTATTAGTTTATTTATTACAAGTCCTTTTTTTTTTATCGCAACATTCACAATTACTATTGCATATCTGTTCATTACTATTGCATATCTGTTCATTAAATAAAATACTAATTCAAATGTATGCCACTGTTTGATAGGTGCATAAAATTACAGGCTGGAAGTAAATTTAGAACTGATATTAGTTTTGTTCACAGACCTCAATTTAATGTGTATAAAAATGCAAAGTAAAATTCTCATTTCTAAAAACCAATAATAAAAACTTAGCAACTGCTATGAAAATTCCCAGTGTGTAAACAATTGTGTTACCATATTATATATAAAGCTTTGTATACTAAATGATGATTTACACCTAAAATGTAGTTGTTGAAGAACCAGTGTCTGAGAATAATAGCTAACTTTTGCCCTGTGTACATTTAGTTTTAGGATGTCCTGAAAATATCAAAATCAACAATGTAAAGCTTTTACACACAAAAGGTATGAGGACTGGGGAACAATCCAATTTATGTCTCCATCCATATAACTAACACCACTCAGTCTACTCAAATATAAAGGCCACTTAGCGTAAGGGCTGTATGATATTAACAAATTTTGCATTGTCAATAATGGTAAATATTGTGATAATATCAGGTGGGCCATATGCCAGTTTTCTTCTTTCCTCCCTTCTTCATCTGTGCTTCCATCACTGTGACCTTTAGCATTTTGGACAGTGTCATTTGTGTCTTGTGTGAGCATCTGCTGCCATGAGACTTTTACAGAACCAGCAAACAGCTGGCACTAAATACCGTTAGATTAAGGCTGCCTGCCAAACACTCGAAGAGATGCAAGAAAGTTTCAGAGAAAAAAAGTATAATGAAGAAGCTGATCTTACAGGTTTTCAAATATTATTATCCTCCTTCATACCCTGTGTCAGTTGTGATAAATCTGGTTTAGCAATTATTACACACCTTCAAAACACAACTCTTCCACCTCCCTTAGCTGTGAACTTGTCTTCTAAAATTGTTGGTACTTTATTGAAAGTGAAATCAATAACTGCCATGATTCAGTTCTCATTTATCCAGTGGAAGATGTGGATTATCCTTTACGACCTGTAGTATGACATCCTCAGGATAAATACAGCATTTCTGCTTGGTGTTCTGCTCTTTTCCAGCCAGCCAGTGTCACTTCCCTCATTTACTTATTTCAATGAGAATAAAGAACCAAATCTTTAAAGCAAGCATTCCAGCTGCCACCTTCATGTCATTTCTTTAACCAAAGTGCAGTCATTCAAGCATTTAACAAAATCCTCACAGACCTTGGGCAGATCTCTGCTTTCAAAAGGCTCATTGCATCTTGTCAATCACTCTACAGTAAACTCTCTCTGCTTTCCTAAAATAGAGTATACAGGTTTGGTTTGAGTAGTACTCTACTGGAAAGAGAAACAAGAAAGGGTTAGGGCAAAGGAAAAACCCTTATTGCTTTTCCAATGAGGGTCATAGAGATAATTTCTTGGACTTTTTGTTTTAACTGATGTAAGAGTTCATATCCAGTACCATCCACATTATTTTCCATGTAGGAACACTTCCATTGCTTTAGAGGGACTGAGTTGGTTTATTATTTTTTTATTCAATTTACAGCTAATGAGGACTTATATATGACTCAACCAAATATGAGTACAGCAACTATGTTTGTGTACAGTTATTTCATTGCAAATTTTTGGATTTACCAATATGGATGTGTTTATAGGACACACTAAAATCCCACATCAGAGCTAAATGTACGAACAATGCACACTGTCTTTGTTGAACACGTTTCCATGCTAAAGTTTACATACATAATAAACTGATCATAGAAATGTGCACAACCTCATGGCAATGCCAAGGCTGCTGTACATTCGTCTATTCTTTTATAGGCCCCTTTGGCGACACCTAGAGGCTACAACGCAAAACTCACTGTGAAAAAAAGTTAAATATCAAAAGCATGAAGTGGTGCAGAAAATACTTTCATAATTACTTTATCATCATTATTACAATAATAATCAGAGGACCAATCATTTCCCTGTGTGAACAGAGGGGTTCTTGATCCTTTGCAGCATGAAGAACTTATGGTGCTGATTACGTTTTAATATTTTAGACCAAATTCATTTTAATAGACAAAAATCACACATAAACAAATTGCAGATTTTTTTTTTTAAATCTGCATGCAACCATTTCAATTATTACACAAAAAAACTACCCAAACCAATCTGAAAAAAAGAAAGTATATCTTAAGCCTAACAGTCGTGGCCTTTAGTTTGTAATAAAGAGCAGTTTGTCTTTTCAGGTGCTGAGAAGGAACTTTGAGTCCCTCTTCTTTCCATGACTGGTTTTAATTTAGACCCAGTATTTTCAGACAAGAAAGGAATCATTTACATTCTGACACTCAATTGGATTCAAGTCCAAACATTGACTAGGTCACTCCAAAAGCTTCATTTTGTTTTTCCGAACAATTGGATTTGCTGGTGCTCTTTGGATGATTGTTCTCCTGCAGAACCCCAGTGTGACTGAGCTAAACTTCAGACTTACTGTCAGACATTTTCCTTCAGGATTTTCTGACAGAGAACAGTTAATGGTTCCAAATCCTTCAGATGTAAGACAAGGATATTTTCCTAAATTCTGGGAGATCAGGATGACGTTTGTTGAGAAAAAAATTTAAATGGGCCTTTGTGTTTTTATATAAAGGGTATATATAAAAAGGGTATTCAATTCAGAATAAACATAAAGAAAATGAAATCTCAAATCACACTGATAAACAAATCCCACCCCTGTATCGTTTTATTGATCCAAACCTTTTGAAGAATGTTTTTGCATGTGTCTTGTAAACAAGCATTTTCCTCGTTTCTCCAAATCCCTCCAGGAATAGAGATGTGGGAGGTGAATTCAAAATAGCCACTTGCTTTTATCTTGCTGAACAAAACCTTGACTTCAGCTTAGTTTATTATTTTATTTTACTGCAGTCATGTCTTCTTGTTCTCAAAACAGTTACAGTGCAGCAAGATTCAGCCAAACCCCACATTTTGTACTCTGACGGAGCATGAAAGGAGTAGCAAAAGATGGTAGGTCACTAATATTATTATCCAGCATTTAAAAGTTTTTTTTTTTCTTGATGGCTAACTGGTGGGTTATTCACCGACTTAATGTAGAACCTAAATCTAAAGTTATATTATTTTTCTGCAACTTAACTGTGATGAGTTTAGCTTTAGAAATGAAGCCAAACACTTTATGAGGTGAAATAACAGACTGAAATAAGAAAGGTCATTAGAAATGACAATATGACCAGACAAAACACTGAGTTTTCACGGCTTCTGATGAGGCACACAGTGACTGACATGAGAGGAAGACATGGTGGAAATGCTGGGGAAGATGTAATTGACTGGCTTGGAGAAGCATGCAGCTCACTCAATAAAAGGGGCAGAACCCACCTTCTCCGCTCCCCGGGCCGGCCTCTGTAATTATCTCCATTAGAGAATTTAGCCCAAATACTGCACACAAAACTCAGGATTAGTGCAGCGAAAAGGTGAACAGAAAGAGGGACACCGGCCCAGACACAACCAGTCCGAACATCAACCCAACAAACAGACATGCATACTTAAAATGATGCAAAAGTGCAACCAAAAAACTAAAAAACAGAAGGCAAACAGAAAAAAGAAATAGCATGAACTCATGAGTCTGGATGTGACTGAAAATGTGAACAACAGTCACGTTTTTAGTAAGACGATTATCATTTACAGCTGGTGAGTACACTGTAAATATGTTGGTGATGTACACAACACTGCTTGAACTGTGTGAACGATGCTGGACATTTTAACAGTTATAATAAATAGGGATAAATCCTTAGAAAGTATGCACATTTATATTTCTCCCTCTCCCAATAAGGGAGACAGGCTTTTAATGAGAACAAAACACAAAAAGATAAGCAGTAGAGTAACTAATTAAATTAAATATCTTGCTTAAAATACAAATGTTTTTAGAAGATTAGTAATAACCAAGAGCAAATATCACCAAGCACACAAATAAGGCAACAACAAAAAATGTCAGGGAAGGTTTGATATTATTCCATTAACTACATACAGATCTTTCTGTGAACATTAACTAAAAAGTAAATGGCATTTTATTAATTGACAAAATTAAGGTAGAAAGATATAGATGCCACATCAAGAAATGTTTGCAGTTACAGAAAAAAAAAAGACTTTCAACAGTGACACAAAGAGGAATAACAGAGGAGCAAAAAGGGAAAGTAAACATAAACATGTAGCGGATGCTAAAGGTGTAACTTATATCTCAGTCCTACTCTGAGAACAGGATGCAAGGCAGGAACGTGTCACTTTGTAAGGTCACAGAAATGTCTAGTCAAGGACAAACTATCACACCAGACATAACATACCCGGACTGTCAGGGGAATCTGAACAACAAAGACAAAACAAATCACGATCAAAAGGAACAGAACACTTTTAATGGCAGCTATTCCACAATGAGTGGAGCTATTGAGTATCTTCACCATGATTCATCTGTTGTTTAGTTTTCTCTCAGTTGAAGAGAAAATCCATCCTAAACAGAGTTTATACTAACCCAGAGAAAACTGACAGGCACTATGTTATATGTATGTAATGTTATATGTTCATCAATTTATTGGTAGTTGAGAAGTGTTCATTCTTTTACCCACAATGTTTTTTTTTTTTAGTTTGTCTTGAAACTTGATTCATTTAAAACTGTGTTATGATAGTTACTGAAACTTTTAAACACAGGAAGAAATACTGTGATTTTTTTTTTCTTTATCCATATTACCCAGTTCTCCACCTAAACGTACACCAACAAATTAGGAGTCAGTGGAGTGAAAAAAAAAAACTGTACAAGAGAAAGAAATGCTGAGTTATTCCTTTTGACAACACAATAAAGTCTGCTTTGGAGTGGATTTTCCTGAGAGAAAATGTTTCACGTTTCCTCAATATTCTCCTTTAAATAGTGCCATGTATGTTTGGCAATCCAGTGCAAGGAGAGAAAAGCTTTAAAATCATTTTACAAACCTGCTTGCTCCATTTCCTCCTCAACATCAAAATTAAAATATTCTTTTACACCCCAAAAAATGTCAGAGAAGGCAGAAAAGAACAAACAAATTTATAAACAAATAAAAATGTTTTCTTTTGACATTTAGCGTATATAGTTCAGCTCTTAATCTGTAACAGCTGGAGATGTATTAAAATCTGTAACATAAATATTAAAAAAATTGAGCAAGTAGGATCAAGTTATCGTAGGATGGCAGAAACAGACCTTGTGTACAACTTGAATCTGTGTAATAGTCATTAGTTCCCTCCTACCTTTCAGGCTGGGAAAAGGTGTTGATTTCTCCCGGGCTGCTTTGTTGGGAAGAGCCAGATTGGACAGGCTGAAGCTGGTGCCGTGGTTCTTGTAAAGATTACCTGGTGAAGGATCAAAGAGACAATCACTAAAGCAAAGTATGATCAAATACTGTTGGTACTATTCAAGTCCATTAAATGAGACTTGATTGGTGACAGGGTGACAGGTGACAGGATCACCTCATCCTGCCTGTTGTTGCGCACTGTCAATCAGCTAGCTTAAGGAAGGCCGTAGCTTCTTTCATTTCACCAAGAAAGGTTTTTTCACAACCAGAAATATTCCTGGTTGTGACCAAAAAGTCTAATTGTGGTGTCAAAGCAAAATGAGAGGCACCTATCACTCTTACTAAAACTATAGTCAGTAAGATACAAGATCTATTAAGCAGCCAACACAACTAATTAACCACCTACATTCAGCTTCGTACAATATTACCCTATAAAGAGCATAACAACAAAAAAGGATAAAATTTTGTGCAGTAATCACTTGAATTCTGATTAAGGGAGTGTTTATGCTATATTTATGATTGAGGCTATGCATGGAAATAAAAAAATGTTAGATGTTAAAATGTAAAATAAATGTAATGAACAACACTATATTATATAAGTAGCAGTAGGAATGTCTGTCCAGATAAAAAGTGATTTTTTTTTTCATTTCCGTTGAAATAAAATGAGGCAATTTTAACCCGTGAAGGGTGTTTTGTAGCTAACAGACTAAACTGAGCATTTGCAATACTAACTTTAAATTTGCCATTTTGACACATTTAACTGGATGCTGTTTATTACAACAAACAAATCATCATCATAAAAAAACAAAACAAGAGAACTGCCAGCCATCTTGTCTGTCAATGTGGAAGGGGGCAGTTTTCCCATCTGGACGTTTTAACTTTCTTCTGTTGATTCTATAGTAATCAGTGAAGCTACATTAGTACATCTACACTGATACTTGATTTATTCTTACTGGCAAAAGACATAAGTCCACCAAATCCATCATTGCTGCTGTTGGAGATGGTGGAATTGGGGGAGCTGTTACGTGAGTCTCCTTCTCCATCAGACTCTCCTGGGAGCCTCAGGCTGCTGGGACGTAAAGGCCGCTGAGCCCTGAAACCAAAAGAAAGGTCACATGAGATATTAATCACACACACACACAGGTTCACGCAAAAATGGACGGTAAGATCAAGAACTCCATGACACGAACATAGCTTGGATGATGAGAGAAAGAGCATCTAAATGCTGCATGTACACACTTGTTGCCATTGAGGTTCTGGTTGAACCGAGGAGTGTAAGATTCCACTTGCTCTTCTTCCGCGTCTTCCTCAGTGGGGAAGCCATACTGAGGCTCAAAGTATGGGTTGTCATACTCTTGCTTTTTGTTGACAGAATCCACCAGACCAGAATCTGCAGCTGGTCTGAGAAACGGCTGACTGCCGATTCCAGGGACTGGGTTCTGCAAAGCGGCGCTTGCTGATGCTTCAATCTCAGGTGCTTCAGCTTGTTCCTGTCAACACAGATACATATGCATTGTGTAAATCATTTCTTATTAGCAACACATAAGAGAGTTGTATGAAAACAATAATCTAAAGTTGAATGAAATAGTCACACACATGGTTGACTCCTTGGATGATTGTGCTAGGGCTTGAGCTTGCAGTTGTGCTGGAGCTTGAACGAAGAGGCTGTCCGTCTGACTGTTCAGCAGCTCCTTCCCCACTAGAAGGACCATCCACACTATGGCTATCCTTTAAATCATGCAAGTCTTGAAACTCAACCTCGCTGGCATCGCCTAGTGCAGCATGAGTTGGAGGATCCAAACCTAAGAGACAGACAGTACTCAATGACGATGCCAAAAAAAGAAAACTATTCATACTGCACGGGTTGGTTTTGAATCAAAAGATCATACTTGGTGTATCCCCCTGGATGTCGCCTTGAATCATCTCGCTCACTAAGTCCCCAAGTGAAGAATAGGAAGAGCTGGAGTCATCATATCCATCACTGTCACTACCACTGAGACAAAACGAAGAACAGAATATCTGAAGCTGCTCAACAAATATGTTACAAATGAGCCAGATCAGACATGGACCTGGTTTCCTAACCTGTCTGTAGGATCAGACTCATTGCCTTCATCTTCCAATGGACCAGCCATAGCTTCCACCAGCAGGGAGCTTCCATCATAGACTCTGTAGACCACGGGCTGTAGCTGATGTGCGTACCATTTTGACTTGTCTCCAATTAAAGATGGATCATATACGTCTAAAACAGATAAAAACAGCAGCTTGGTGGTCAATTCAATTCAAAACGATTCATCAACAGATTATTACCATGTTAAATGAGTCTTACTGTTGTGTATCCTCTGAAAAGCAACGTTAGTGGGATTGAGTGCCCACTCTCCATAGAATTCCACCGCCTGGGTGTGGGACAGTTTATCGGCGAAGCAGGAGCGGCGTGGGCGAGACGCAAGAAACGACGTAGACTGAAAAGCGACCACTGGTCGCGGAAAGAGCCGCAAAGTACGCGTGTGCATTTGGAAGCCCTGGAGGACATTGGGAGAGTTGAAGAATCGCACCATGGCAACCCTGAAATGAAAAAGAAAATTAAGATGTTTTAATTGAGGTAAATCATGTTATGTGATATTATAGCTGGTACAATGTTAGAATAAAAAATAAGGCTGCAGATTAACCTAAAAAAAACTGTAAAATCGTGTTTGGGCTAACACTGATTTTAAAAGCTTTGCATAGTCATTCTGGCATGTCAATTTAGCCAACTCGCACACAGAAGTTAATCCTTAAAGGTTGTTTTTAACATAAATTGTATGTAATGTGTTGTTACTACCACAAGGTGGTGGCAGCACACTAACGGAAGTGGTAGAAAACACACCAAGTTGCTGGATTGTTGTTTCTGTTTTTTTTTTTCATAGCTAATCTTCTATTTTCATCTTTAATAAGTTGCAGTACTCTGACTTTTCTGTAGTGTTGCCAGTCTTTAAAAAAATAAATCAAAGAACAGGAAGTGATCTCAAATTTGTATTTTTGATTAAAAGGGGTCACCTTACCGTCTTCAAAAGTGGAATCTATCCTCCTGGCCAAGCATACTAATACTGCTCAATGTTCCAACAGTACTAACGTACGTTTTTATGAAAACGTAAGTTTACTACTTGCCTGGTGGCCACATCAACGGAATCAACGTCATTGCCGTATATCAGAGGGTTGAACTCGGTGGAGGATGGCGAAGCCTTGTCTCGTCCTGGAGGGAGCAGGGTCATCTCCTGGCCTTCCTGGAACTTCTCCAGGTTCAGAATAGGTTGTGTGTTCAAACTCATGCTGGCCAATGCCTAAAAGGCACCAGTGATACAAATTACAAAAGACGCTATGGATCTAATAACAATGCTGTGATGACTACTCCCACTACAGGCATCAACAACTTCTAGAAATTGTGTATAATGGAATATAATGTAGGTACATTTATTATTTGTAACCACCAACAAGGGAGATAATATCTTTGCATCTAAAATTATTCAACCCCCACTGCAAATTAAGCTTATTGGCAAAGTGCCCAAACAAGCAGCTATTAAATAAAAAACAGTGTTGCACAATTGTTGTGTTATTTACTGCCATCTTAGAATTATACAATCCCTGTATATCTTGTCATCCAAATGCTGCAGGATTCCAATGTCAGATGATGGAAAGTCCATCCACAGAATCAGGGAGCCAATACCCTGCTTCACAGTAAGCACAGTGTTCTTGATAACATATGCTTATAGCTCTTATTTTGATTGACATTTAAAGCAGAACCAACTGTTGCTTTTGAGTCAGTAATGGTGTACGCCTGGAGATCTTCAAGTGTGCCATACTGTGAAAACTGAAATCTCAGTGCTGGCTGCCACAGGTGTTTATCAGCCTAATAATTGTTTCTGAACATCTGCCTCAATAGGAATCTGGTAGCGGTCGTTGATAGGTTTCAGGAGGTGAATCCTTCCAGCAGTCACTATAGGACCTTGTCCTCATTTTTGTAAGATCAATTGAACAATTTACTTGACCAGTTTAAAACATCTATTGAAATGTCACCATCAACTATCTAGTTTCATCCATCAACGAAACCCTTCATTGGTTGTATTGGGGGTGACTGAGAACATGCGTGGTCTGCAATGTGTGCTTTTGTAAAGCTTTCTATTTCAGTAACTCTAAGACAGCAGTGGTCATTGGAAATAGTGTCGAATTTTACATTAAAACCTGGTAATATGAGGTTTATTTAAACAGATGTTAAGTCTTTTGCTTATTGGAAACACCTAAACAATTTTGAAGGAAGACGACAAACTTAATTTGAAGTAGAAGCTGCATAATTGTAGGTACAACGTTATAAATTAGTCCCAATCCAAAGATTCCCCATCTTTATGGTTTTGACTCAACAATAAATAAGGTCATCAAAGATCAAATTTACACATGTTGATGCCTGTGGTGGGTGTGCCGTTTTAGAGAGGAGAAACAGGAGGAAGTAAGTCACTATGCATGGTTTGCTTAGAGGGAACTGCTGCAGTCTCAGGAGTCAATGTTTAGCTTAGCATAATGGAACATTTAGTTGCTGGGTCAGGATGAATGTTAACTTTGTCAAAGGGATAAACAGATAAGCTTTTATTGTCTTATTTTGGTTAAGAGAACACTCACTATGCCAAAAACAGATGCACGCACATTCATACATGCTCAAGCCAGAGTTAAGCAGTGTATCAGAAACAATGTCCAGCGACATTCTGAAATGTTCTTTAGCATTTTCTATAGGTCAAGAGAACAAGAGACAATAATTAATGACAGGCAAACTAATGTGTGAGAGAGGATTTCCGTGCATGGGCATTACACATTCCACAGGAGGAGAAATGAGTAACCTTATTTTCAGAGGAGAAGATCTGCTTTTGGGTGATCACGGTCAATCTAACCAGACACTAGGAAGGGGAATAAGAGAGATGCCAGGAGAATCACATGTAGGCTGGAGATGACAGTTTTGTGACAGACACTGGAACATCACATGATGGAAGGGTAGCAGCATCTGCCTTTTCACTTTCTTTTCTTTGTCTCCTTTTAGAAGTACTTCCCACTTTTTCTGCTTGGCTGACAGCAAGTAAGTACATTTTGTTGCCACCAACATGTGAGTAATTTAAAGTTAAAGTTGTGAGGAAAAGGGTTTATACTAGAGTTTTGTAGTGAAACAACTCTAGCTCTGTCATTTCGTTTTTAAATTCTACAACTTACTTGAGTTGGATAATATTTTTATTGAGAGTGTGGAAACAAAGAGGATTCAAATTTAGAGAGACATTGAGAAAGCAAGACAGAGAAAAAGGCTGATGAAGAAGTTGAGATGATTTTATACCAAATATGATAAGACATTGAGAAACCGACAAGTCAATAACTTGATCAAAAGCCAGAATTCACCATCAGAATCCAGCCTTTGAGAGAGACAGGACAAACATCCATGGTCACCAACTGGGAAAACCCAGTGGTTACAATGGAGAGGAGATGACAGTACAAAACAGCAGATCTTTTCAGAAATACATAAAATGCTTGCACACCTCTGCATCTACAGAAAATGGAAAAAATGAAACTAATTCCCATTTTCTTAAAAAAAAAAAAAACACACAATCTGAGATTTACAAAAGTAAATGAATCAGTCTCTTGCAGGACTGATTTATTTGTAAAATGAAGAGCCGAGTGCAAGTATTTTCAGAGGCTCTCATAAAGCAGCATTATGCTACGGCATCCAAGTCTTTAGAAAAATCAGTGAAACATTCCTCTGTGACATGTTTTACATTCACAGAAAAACCATTGTGAGCTTATTTCCAAATATATGCTAGCAAAAACTGAGGCTTAGCACACTCCTACAAACCAGCTTCTCAGTCACACACACAAAGAAAGAGCTGCTAACCACACACAGCTATAAAACTGGCTCTGATTCAAGGTGGATGAAACCAATTGATGACTAAAATGAATAGTCAAATTGAGTTTTATCCTGTGAAAATTTGTGCTAGGCAAAACAGCCTCTGAGCAACTAAATACAGTGTTTTGCCAGTAAAGTGGGTTGATAAAGATAGAACTGGTATAATTAGGAACGATCCATATCTTTAAGTAAGTTGGAAGATATCTTGCATTTGTGGGGGAAAAAAATTATGCAGATTCTTGAATTAAGTAAAGTGGGTTGTGAAGATTTGCATATAGTGGTATAAAAAACAAGCACTCTCCAAAATAATCTTAAACAAAATAAGATTCTGAACTTGTATGTGAAGTTTTCTGTGTGATTGAAAAACAAAAACATCAAAAAACAAAGTCTCTGCTCCAACTCAAAGAGAAATTTAAATAGTACTTTTGAAATTTGAAGCATAATAGCTGTACCAATTAGCAATCCCAATAAGTGCAAAAAAAATAAATAAATAAATAAATGAATAAAAAAAAATAGCACATATTATGAATATCAAGCCAATATAGATTGGAAGGTTTGAGAAGGATATCAGCAGGTGGGGTTGTCCACAGCCCCATATTAATTGCTTGTACAGGTTTAATATAGGATGACAAAGGGTAAAAAGTCAGAGCCAAGCATGTACAAGATCTGGGCATTTGAATTTGTTTTCAAACTCATTTGAGACTCAACAGATACAGAGGGCAAATAAAGTTTGTTCGTAGGGTCCAGCAGTAATACACAATTTTATAATGGCCAATTATAAAATTATACGTTTATACTGTGGAACTAAAATCCTTGCAGTAGTTTTATAAAACTCAAAATTCTTCAAATTTTCTCATGTTACCACTACAAATTTCAATTTATTTTACTGGAATTATTTGAAGTAGATCAACAGAAAGTACTGCATTACTGGAAGCGGAAGGAAGACTTTTTTAGAAATAATCTGAAAAAAGTGGGGTGAGCATATTTATTCAGCTTCTCCATTTCAATGCAAGACGAACCACCTGTTTCTGCAAATAAAGCTGCAGGTATTTGGGGGATATTATCTCTACAAATCTTGCACATGTAGAAACTGACAGTTTTGCTCAGTGCTCTCTAATTTTAAAGTCTTGCCACAGATTTGAAATTAGATTTAGATCTGGACTTTGAATGGGTTTTCAAACACATGTATGTTTGGGGTTGTTGTCCTGTTGGAATGTCAACCTTTACCAAGAGATCCAATCTTTCATCACAGTTAAGTTTTGCTCCAGGCACCTCATTGTCAACAGTGACCAACTTGTATGTCTGCTGAAAAGAAGAAAAGTATTCCCACTGCATTATACTTCCACCACTCCATTTAACCTAAGGGATGATAGATTTAGGATCATGTGCAGTAGAAAGAAGTGTATTTTTTCCCTCTGGCAATGGTTGTCTTATTGCCATTCTTTCATAATAAAAAAAAGGTTTGTGGAGTGTAAACCTGAGCTCAAGATCTCAGAAGCTCCTCCAGCATTACCTCTGGTTTCTTAGTGGGTTCTCTAATTAATACTGTCCTGTTCGGGTCTGCCAGTGTACATGGGTGTCCATTTCTTCCTAGGTTTGCAATTTGTTTTTCAAATGAACGGAACATTGCTTTGTGAGATGTTCAGAGATGTTGAGAAATTGTGTTAATATTTTTACAAAAGGCAATCAGTGGGACATAATTTCCTTTAGAGGTATCGTTTGGTGAACACATACACACCAAAGTCCACAGATTTGTATTTGTACAAAATTTCAAAAATCAGGGCCAATTTTCATTTAGCTTCACTACATGTGTAAAATCACAGTAAAAGCCATGAAAGTTTGTGGTTTTTACATAAAAAAAATAAAGGAACTGAATATAAAGCTGTTTTCATGAATCAGAACCAGACTCTGAAATTATTTAGTAGGCTTATAGGGGGAAACTGGTTGCCATCAGTAACAATAAAAGGTTTATTGGGTCCAAGTATCCGACTTTACCTCCAACAGCTAGAGCATGCAAACAAAATGGAAACAAAAAGAAAAGAGAAAAATAATAATAACATGTTAGTGCACTAAAAACAAGCCCTTTTAAAATCTCGCACACTCATCTACAATACATACAACCCAGATGATGAAGGAGCCACCTACTCTTCAAATTGCTGAAAGAGAATTTTTACATGTATACGAGTGTGGTCAAGTCACAGTAAAAAGAAGCAGCCATATAAAAACACTGGGATCACTGGTTTCTGGCTGCCACAGGGCAGTTGAATGAAATTGACTTTTTTAAAAAAAAGGGCTGATTACCTGTTTTAGATGCTTCTTTAGTTCGCCTGCTTCAGGCTCTGGCAGAGGGGGCAGATTCTCTGCATTGGTGGGTGCTATAACCTGCAAGCCACATAAGACATATGATTAAAAATTTACTTTGTTAACATAATCTCTAAATAGGAAGGGAATAATCCACAAAAAATGTACTTCAATGGGGTTATATAGTTGGCCTTCAATTTCCTGCTTTATTTTTGACACCATCTTGGAGCAGCATTTGGTAAAAACATGCCACTGGAGTGACAGGATGTGCAAAACATTGTGTGACACACACACATACACACACACACCTTACTGCTGTCGAGGTCAACAAGCCAAACATCGTCTGGCATTTTGAAATCCGATTTGTAGAGGAAGAAGCTGGCTGGAACACCGATAATGTAGGGAGTGGGAGCGAGAAGAAGCTGTGAGGAGGAGAAAGCAAAAACCAGTTTGTACATAAAGTTGGTATTCCAACAACAGATGGTGTTTACAGTTTTAATAGGCAGCTAATTTCAAACGTTTCTCAGACTTGTTATTTCCATGCGTTTCATTTTTACACTTACCTGCTCAGCAGAAGCCATACATGTAGGGAGCAACGGGATGACAGGGAACATGTACTCCAGGGGGTAGATCATAGCAACAAAGGCCATGACACTCATGGACAAAGCATTGTAATCACGCGATTGAAGAATGACCTTAAAGGAAAATAATGGTAAAAAAAAAAAAAAACACAATAAATGTTATTCAACATAATGTTACTAGTCCCCTTTCAAGCAGTGAATGTCTCATTCCTATTAAGTTAAGGCTTTACAAACGTAAAACTGTCAAGTTATGTCTGTCTTTTAATAACTTCACTGCTTTGTTCTTATTCCCTTGTTGTCTAACTTGCATGCAAGAATGCCCGGTTTTGTCTCAAGTTTGTTAACAGCATTATTAAAAGTCGATTTTCAAGAACAAGTGAAGCTGGGAGAAGAAAAAGCTCAAAAGAGACGTCAGTGTGACAGCTTTCAATTAGTTCAGCTTGACTGGATTAAATAACAATGTGAAATGTTTTTCAAACAGATGAACACAAGGAAATTATACACATAGACTTTTTATTTTACAGACCTTTTTTTATTTTAGCTTTTAATATATATGATTTTATTTTTATTTTGTTGTATTTTTTAGAAGTTGAGATAACAATGCCTTTATATGCATCCTGTAATATTTTATAATCTTGAATGTGGGTTCAAATGATACCTTGGCTGAACAATGATTCCTTGTTCAGCCAGTTTCTAATCAGATAATTCATATTTCTAAGCACAACAATGTCACAAAAACATCCACACTGTTTGGTGTGGAAGTTGTTACTGCAGGCAGAAGAATTAAGTTGGCTATTTGTCCACTGATACCACTTTAAAAAAAATAAATTAATAAATAACCAGGGTATTTATCAAGTAAATGTCCTTAAAATGAAGGTGGAACTTTTGGAGGGTGTTCTGTGTAGAAAGAGTGCTGAGGATTTACAAATAATTCAGTCTTATCAGTTAAAATTGTCTAAAGCTCATATTATGCTAACTGCATCATCGGCATCCATTTACAGCAGTCTATGGGCAGAGAAGAATTATATCCTTCATTCAAAAACAAAAGTCTACAGTTTTTATTGAACATAGTGTAGTAAACAAATAAACAATGTTTTATTTTAAACCAATATGTTCTGAAATACAAATAAAAAACAGCCACGATTCCTGAGGCGCTGCTGGTGTGTGTCGATAATGATCCTATGGAACAGACCTCTCAGCCTTTCTTTGTTTAATGTCTGGGAGTGTTACAAATGTCCTCTTACTTTGAAGAGATTATAATATAGTTTATCTGTATAAATGTTGTGAAATGATTACACATTTATGGCTAAAACCATGGGATTTACTCCCCACCGCAGCTGAGACGCTTATTCTCATTCCTAGAAAGCAGTAGACCAGGAAGGTCCATGAAGGCAAAATACCTTTTTACACTTTGGAACAGTTACAGCTTTTCAATAAATTAAATGTGAATATCGACACGCTTTAAAGTGACAAACTCCTCATTTATCATCCTACTGCTGAAAATTACAGCGTTTAAGTTCAAAATGGGAATTAAACTGACTGAGACCTCTTTCAGCACTTCTGACATGGGAGGAGGTTGTGCTCATGGTCCCCTGACATAAACGCCCAGTGCCATAGCAAAATGGTAAAAAACAAAAACAGACAGGGTAAATCAAAATTCCAGCAAAAAAGGAATACTTCTGGAATGCTAACCATACTAATCAATAGAAAAGGATTATTAATATAAACAGTCTAAAACTCTAGCTCGGTATTTATTTTGTCTTTGTTTGGAAATATTAGTGAAATCCTGTTTAACTGCAGGGGATTGTAACGCAGACAACGTTGCTGCTTATAAATAATTATCAAAGATGGGAAGGCCTCTTGGCTTGCATTTACTTACAATCTAGTAATTAATGAGGAAGCAGTATAACTTTGTCCTCTCACATATTATTTGGATGTAGATGTCATTTATTTGGAAAGGATTTTGTAAAAGAAAAAACAATAAATTACGTATCCATTCTGAGACAAACATCCATATTTTGAGATGTGAAAAGAAAAAAAGTTAGTGAGCTATGATCTGTTTTGCAAAGGGAAAAAGTGGAATGTATTGTAAAGATTTATCCTGATATCTCTCATAACCTGGAGGATTTTACTCCATTTTTAGAATCGTAGTGATGCAGACTGGAAACTTTAACTTTGGAAAAGTTTTGAAAAAACGTTCTGAAAAGTCATTGCTGATTTTATTTTTAAACATTTCAATTTGCATTTCCTAATGTAAACAAGTAAGAATACCAGTCAGATGATCATAAAATTTCCAAAAGGAAAACAAAAAGGTTACACAACAGAGGAACTCCACAACATTGTGTATGAAACTAAAAGCACAAGTTTTGGTCTGGAAATGCTTCGAATGAGCCTATCTATCTGTGCCACAGTAACATTACACCAGCTAACTGAACAAGGATTCCAATTACATTCAAGTCAATGGCTCAAGAGGTGAAAGACGGCAGATGACAGAGAGAAAAGAGATGAAGTTCTCCGAGTTCTCATTTCCTCTCTCTTGCTTTGTGTAAACCAAATGGCTATAAAAACCATAAACAGAAACTGAATAATAAACGTTACTCATTTTGGCAGATTTAAAAAAAAAAAAAAAAAAAGTATTTTACTTAAAGATAAAATGCCACTAGTTGGTAATTGCAATAGAGCTGGGTATTAAGGGAGAGGTGCAAAACATGTTTGCTAACCTTAGTAAGGTTAATTGCTTTAAATAAAACAGAGTGGGTGTTAAGTTAAACTCATTCACTGTAAAGAAAATAATCAAATCAATTTTCTTTATCAGGAAATTAATAAATTATGAGGTATTCAGCCTGGTGATAGAGCTTGGTCAGTTTTTTTCTTAGAATTCACAGCAGAGGAACTGTGTTCAGTGTTTTGCTGATCTTCTGAGGTTCTATTTAACATATTTTATGCATGAAAATTACCTTCACTGAAAATGCAAATACAGTTATAAAAAGGTCCAAGGTATAACCAGAGCCTATCTTGAACTCCTGACTTGTTCTCATGGTTACCTTGTGCTCCAACAGGACACAGCTGAGGACCTGAAGACAGGCGTCAACACCCAGCAGCTCCAAGGGCAGGTGCAGCGGGAAATCAACCAAGGAGAAACGAGAGTTGTCAGGCAAGGCGAAGGTGAGTGGCCGTTTCAGTTCCTGGGGCAGCACCTCCACATCCACGCGCCTCTGACCTGCCAGTGGCACCGGGGAGCGCAGCAGCCGGTACACCCAGGACTCTATGTCCCGTAGGTCGACCAGCAGCTGACTGCCCTTCTCTTCCACCGAGAGCGCTCCGGTAAACACCCGCCACATGGTGTCCCTTCATAGATACACAAACAGAACACACACATTAAACCAACTTCTATGTTATTATTTCCTCTTTACGGCTAATGTCCTAATTAACTGTACAAGAATTGTGCTTAAATTGCAAAACATTTTCTAAGGACAATGGCGTAACAAACACAGGAGACTGTTGCTAAATGCCATTTCTTCACACATAAGAGAATGCAATATTTATTCTTAAATTTCACAGATACAAATACAGCTATTCAAGAGAACTTAATTATCTAATTGACATGGCAAATATACAGAGTTGTGCTGATAAATTTAATGATAAAAATATCTTAAAGCAGATAAATAATGGCTGATTTTACTGCAGCAGACAGCTACCAATACGCATGACCAAACCAACTGTGAAATCAGTAATCTGAAGGGTAAATGATACTGAAACACAGAAGAGGCTCTTTGCCAATCACCACAATGTTGATTTGAAAAGGCTCAACTTCACACGCGTGACACCATTCTGGTTCTTGAAGGGTATATTTAGTGCGTGAGGCGGGGAGTGAGGCTAAACCATTAGTCCTTCAGAGCCCTCCCACCTCGCAGCTGCTGCCCAAAGGCAGCTGGAGACCTCAATCTGTCAGAGCTGCCATAGTGAGAAGTGCTCTAAGCCATTATACAATGACTCTCCTCTTTCTCTGTCACCGCAACCCAACATTTCAACCTGGCAATCCAGAAAAATAACATAACAAAACAACTCAAGTATGTTAAGCATTTGGCTTCAATACACTCAAAGGTTGTATGATTAACCACAATTTTATGATGCTAATTACTAGACAGACTGGATCATTTTACTGAAAGAGAAGTGCATTAAAACAATAATAAATTGTAATACCGAAGGGTAAAAAAATATGTACTTTTACGCGTAATTAGCTTAAAAGCTAAAGTCTAAATAATTTCATTATTCAAATGTATGCACAGTCACTGAAAGCATTGAATATCCAAAACAGAATATTTGAAAATAAAAAGCCCTGGAGTAAATAAAGCTATCACCTGCTGTATAGACTATAACACAGTGCTGCTCCTCATCCACGTTACAACTCACTAAAACCATAGGTTTTTTTGCCCCTCCCTCATAGGAAATATAATTTTCTTCTCAGATTTGTGATCATAAACAAAAAGCAAGATAAGTAATTATGTGGAAACTACAAATAATTAATGATTAATATATTATGTTAGAAGTAGTATAGATAATGGCTGCTTTCTAAATAAAATAAGTTGGATCATGTTATGAATTACCTGTCAAAAAACCACGGTGTTTCTACTGAAAGTAATCATACCCTGAGCAACCCTGCATCGATCATATTTCCAGCCAAGTATTTTTCAACTTTACCTTAAACTACTGACCGTCATCAGTAGCTGCTGTCTTTACCACATCAATATTTAACGCAACACAACTATAAAGAATCCAAAAACATAAAAACAGTCCTCAAAGCCTAAGAAAGGGAAAACACCGATGCTGGATCAGACATCAGTATCATATTTGACGAAGTATTACTTGACATTGAATAAATCGCTCAAAACAAATTCAATTAAATACGACAATGTATTAATAACTCAAAGTGAAAAAGAAAACTAAACAAAAGCTAGTTCTGTGAAAACAAACAAAAAAAGCTGCAGATGGCCAGCAAAACCACACAGAGCTACAGACAAAAGGCTCCTTTATTAGTTATATTAAACATACAGATCACATGTGGATGAGGAGGAAAGAAAGGAGGGAGATGCACCAATTCATCTGTATGAGATTAGAGTTATTCAAAAAAATTTTAATATGTTGCTGTTTTTTTTTTTCTAATTTGTGAAATAAACTCCAACAGTTTTCTGTTTACATTCGAATTTGGTCATATACGTAAATATAAAAATTACGATGATCTTATAATTTCATTTTTGTTTGATTCAGAATTACGCCCTGTGTCAAAAAACTGCAACAATGTGTTGTATCCAGATTTTAAAAATTGGAAATGAAAAAATAAATAAATAAATAAATAAATAAATAAATAAATAAATAAATAAATAAAAATCACCAATTGCACACAAGTCAGAACTGATCTAGAAAAACCTGATTGGTGCTCATAAACCATTTAAAAACACAAGCCAGTGCCTTAATGTTGTGCTGTTTACTCTTTGAGTAGTACTGCTCTATTTTCTTGACATTTTTTAACAGGTCCTTGTGAACAGATGAGCTGTCAGCAAATTATTTACCCTGGAGACAGTAAAAGGCACACCAGTCAATACAACAGTTAGTGGATTGAGTATTGTGCTAACAATGAAAGAAAAATCAATTTTGTGAATAAAAAGTCCATTCAGACAGAAACAACGTCTCCCCATTCCAACAAAAAGAAACAAAGAACAAAAAAGAACAACTTGAAAGCTGCCAATCTGTTTTTTGTTGTTTTGTTTTTTATTAAAGAAAAAAACAGAAAAGCTAGCGTTTCACCTCCAGAACAACAACACAGAAGTCTCACCTTTGGGTGGCACGAGAGAGTCCCGCTCGTTGGGTTAGCCTCTGACTGCAGCAGTCCACCAGCCTCTTGAGAATATATAAACATTCTCTAAAAGTGGTAAAGAAGGGGTAGTGGCTGAGTATGCACAGCGAGGTCAGCGTACTGTTGCGGTTCCTGGCAGCCATCTTGGCAGCTCTGCGTTTGTGCTGTGGAGACTTGCCAGAGGTTTGCTCAGGACCTGGTTGCCCACTTTCTTCTCCAGATGAAGACGGGGCTTCAGACTTGGAGTTGTCAGGTGCGGATGGCGCAGCAACATGGCCTCCACTGCTTCCATCAGACGTTTCATTAGTGCTCTCCACTGCCTGCGCTGCAGTCTCTGTATGGCTACTCTTGTCGCGAGGGCGGTGATGCCCACGCTGAAAAGATCGATAGAAGTTGACGCAGATTCCGTAGCGGGTGATTCCAGAGTCCTTGTCGGTCAGCGTGAAAACAAACGAAGAGTCATCACGCAGGCTGACCCGGCGCTGGCGGATGCTCAGGCAGCCCTCTGGTTGGCAGAAGAACACCACATCCGGCGGGAGCGGGAAGTCGTGGTGATCCTCCAGGGGGTAGCGTCGGAGAAGCTGTGGAGTCTGGGCCACACTGTCACTACTTGGTTGCCTGAGGAACAGATGGATAAACATGCCAGGTAATTCTTTGTTTCTCTTAGGTTTTATAACTGCTACAACATCAATATGCAAAAACTAAAAGAAATTAGGAATGCTTCCTAATGCTTTGATAGGAATCTAAACTGTTCAAAAAGAGGTGCTCAGTTTAAAACACAGATATAAAAGAACTCCTAGGCAAAACAAAGTAGGGAAATCACATGTTTTTCAATGTGTGTCAGTAGCTCAAAAACCAGAGATCCAAAAAGTGGACAAAAATTAAGCTCTCATAAAGAAAATCAAAATGGTCTAAAATGACCATTATGTTTTCTAGAAATTCAACAAACTTTTCTACAAACATGGGGGAAAAAGTGGTTCCCAAGCTTTTCAGCTTCCAACCCACAAAAAAACAAACAGCGAAATAGACTAATGATCAGATGAGCGTTTCTACTAAGTTAAAAAGGGCTATAATAACACAAGGTGCGACACATACCAATACATAGTTTTTTAATCTATGTGAAAGGACAGCTTTATGTCTTTCAATACTTATAATTATGTTCATTATCATTTTTGCTATTTAATTAAGTCGTCTTAAGGAAATCGCAAGAAACTAGACCACAAGGGGCCAGAACCCAACTTTGAAGAGCCCACAACAGTCACTGAAATAACTTGAAACTGAAAAGCAACTATAAATAGTAACTGAATAGAACCAAATACAATTCAAACATTGTTGCTAAATTTTAGATTAACAGAATTATTTCTAAGAAAAATAAAATAAAATCTAAAAACAACTGGCTTAGGCAAAACATTTCCATAAAGACTTTTTGAAAGAATCAAGCTTTACTAAGGGTGATAACTTTGCATTCTGGCATGCAGATGGTAAGGCGGAGCTGTGTTTTGTGGGGGCCTATGTGTTGCAGCACCCTCCCCCATGACTCCTCTTATGACTCAGATACATTTAAGACAATAACAGATTCATCAGTCAGGATCAGTGCTTACCTTGCTCCAACAACCACCAAGTAGTCAAGAAGACGTGGGCATATTTTCTTTTTCTCCATTTTGGAATATTAAAATCCTGTATGTCAAGACATCCAGGATATACGTTCCCTTGTGTGTCAATGGTATAATTTCATCAAAGGAGGTTTGTAGCTGAAATTCAGATCCTTTGTCATCATTATGTCCATTCACTACAGACAAACCTGTAAAAACACAAGAAAATATGATCATTACCAACCTGACAGTTTATTTTTGAATATGCATGTCACTATGAAAGGATACTAAATAGAAAAAAGAGTGAAGAAATCGTCAGTTGATCAGTATAGGCAGATTTTCTGCTTGAACAGTTCTAACTGGTGATTGGCAGGACCTTCATCTTAAATTTTACAAACATTTACGCCATGAGATCGGCTGCAGGTTGCATTCTTGTGATTAAACAGTATTACAGCTGTGCCAGGAGATGACAGCTCAACACTATCTTGCCTCACATTTCCCTTTACAGGAAATTAAAAACACAATGCACAATATTGAACTAAATTTATTTTTACTAGACAAAGAAGGTGACAAAGAAACAAGCCTGGAACAGCACAAGAGATTTCTAGCTGTTCGCTCCCCATCCCCAATTCAACAATATCCCTTTAATAATTATTCAACTCAGAAATACACTGTAAATCCCTACTGCATTTCTAGCACTGTGTGTTTTACAGGCATTTTATTCACTATTGTGCCAGCTGGTTGTTGTTGTTGGAGGATAAAAAAAGGCTCGCTGATGTAGTAAGCAGCTTACAGGCTGTTGGGAAAATGAGGACCATTGAGAGCATGCACTATGGCCCTTAAAGCCCTGGGAATTACAGGTAACAGGAGCAAACTCAAACACCAAGACATGAATCTACCACCATTTACCAGCTCCATTTTGACTCTTTAAGCTGAGATCTTAGAAGGTACAGTAATCAAACATTTTTGTCAAGTACAACTGCAAAACTATCTGATGGAAATGATCCAACTTTTAAATTGACTGAGCTACTTTTTTGTTTAGGAAAAATGCATTTTGTTATGTACGTACAGGGGAGTAAAATAAGTATTGAACACGTCACAATTTTTCATTGTAAACACATTCCTAAAGGTGCTAGTGACAAGAAATTTTCATCAAATGTTATTCCAAGTAATCCATTTAGAGAAAGGAACCTAAACAAGTAAGTTCAGAAATTATTGTTCAGAACTTATATGTAATAATGTGAAATGGCAGAGGGAAAACGATATTGATCACATAGAGAAAGGGAGGTGGAAAAAGGCATGGAAAGCCAAACCAGCTTAAATCTATCTGTGATCAGAAAGCCATACTGCTCCTTGAAAGTGCAAATGAACATCACTACAAAATGGTTGCCATTTTACAACGATTATTGACAAATAAGAACTGAAGTCTTGATTCAGCCAGTGCAGAGCAATATGTGTGGTAGAAAAGTTTTTCTCCTCTCTGCCATCTCCACAAAACAAGTTCAAACAAAAGCAACTATGTAATTTACATTTTTAGGGGTTTTAGAACTTTTTAAAAAAAATGGAATACCTGATACCAGTAACTACTAACAAGAGGAGGGAAATTATTTTAAGGACTCCCCTGTTATCGTAACAGCAACATATCTCTGAAGCATATATTCTCGAGTAACAAGAGCTTTCGCAGTCGGCATGCCATGGTGAACACACTTTACTGCAACAACAAACACCGCATTGCTGTTCTGCTGAAACACCACCCTGAAAAGCAAACATTGAAGTGGAAGAACATGCTTGCATGATGTTACCCTGCACTGATAAAGTCAAGGAGCTATCCATTTACCTATGCACACATTATGATACCATTTACTAACAGACCAAGCAATGACCTGGCCTTAAATATGCTGGAAAATCTGCTGGAATTACTGTTTTTCACTGGCTGAGACAGTTATTTATACTAACCAAGATAGATGCCAAGTGGTAGGTAGGACAGTAGACATCCAAGGTATTCAATTTATTCTGAAATGTTCTCCAAATTCATTACTGTTCCATAATAATAAACAAATCAGCAGTTTCTTTCTACATTTGCTGAGATGCAACTGTTTGATGTTTTTTAGTGTTAGTATCACAGCAGAGGGGAAATGTGTAAAGTTGAATGGATTGAACACAAATACTGAGGTTAAGACTTCTCCCCTGATCAGCAGTTGGCAATCTTGTTAGTCTTTTAGAATCACATAAGCTCACTTAGAGTTTTGACTAAGATGGGACTGAAAAGGTATCTGTTATGCAAAACCTGGAATGGCAAAACCGATAGACATCAAAATTGTTTTGGTGATGAATAAAGTAGCCAGCCTCAAACTCACTTCTACGGAAAAGTCCTGGACTATGCTTAAGGAGTGAGTCTTTGCCAGGAATACAACCTCTACAACCAACCTCAACAACCTCTAAAAAGCCACCTGTTTAGAGTTACCTGTGATTCATAGCAACAGGAAATTGACTAATATATCTGAATGATGATTTTGATTATGGCATTTGACAAAAAATACTGTAAATTGTTTCATAATTGGTTATTGTGTTGTGTTTTAGTGGTGTAAAGCATTTTAACTGCCTTGTTCCTAAAATGTGCTGTACAAATAAACTTGACTTTTCAATAGGATCAACAAGCATGTGGTTTATCTGTAACTTGCTAAGGCACAACTAGTACAGGAAGTATATGAAAATATTTGATCATGTATGCAAAATTTTGAGAATGCTTGGATTGGAAAAATTCATCATGAATTGAGATTTCTGTACCCATTTCTTTAACTACTGAAGGGTAACTAATAGAGGTGTGCCGATCGATCGGCTACCGATCATAATCGGCCGATTTCCGT